GACTCAGTAGTTGTGGCGTGTGGGCTCAGTTGCTCCGCAGCATGTGGGATCTTCCCGGACCAGGGATCGAACCCATGTCCCCTGTACTGGCAGGCGGATTCTCAACCACTGTGCCACCAGGGAAGTCCCTTTCAGTATGTATTGCCAAATGATAGTTTTTAAATTGTGACAAGAACACTAAACATAAGATCTACAGATTTTTTTTTTTTACTTTTTAATTTAATTTTGGCTGCATTGGGTCTTCGTTGCTGTGTTGCGTTCCTAGTTGCGGCGAGCGGGGGCTACTCTTCATTGTGGTGCGTGGGCTTCTTATTGCAGTGGCTTCTCTTGTTGCGGAACGTGGGCTCTAGGCACGCAGGCTTCAGTAGTTGCAGCGTGCGGGCTCAGTAGTTGTGGTTTGCAGGCTCTAGAGCGCAGGCTCAGTAGTTGTGGCACATGGGCTCTAGATTGCAGGCTTAGTAGCTGTGGCATGCGGGCTTAGTTGCTCCACGGCATGTGGGATCTTCCCAGATCAGGGCTCGAACCCGTGTCCCCTGCATTGGCAGGTGGATTCTTAACCACTGCACCACCAGGGGAGTGCAGACCTACAGATTTTTAAGTGCACAGTACAATGGTCTTAACTGTACAGAGTTGCACTGCAGATCTCTAGGACTTAATTGTCTTGCATGACTGAAACTTTATACTCATCAAACAGCAACTCCCCCCTCCCCCCTCCCCCCAGCCACTGGCAACCACCATTCTACTTTCTGCTTCTGTGAGTTTGACTGTTTTAGATACCTCATAGAAGTGGAATCATGCAGTATTTGTTTTTCTGTGACTGGCTTATTTCACTTAGCATAACGTCCTCCAGGTTCATCCATGTTGTGGCATATGACAGGATTTCCTTCTTTTTAAGGCTGAATAATATGTTCCATTGTTATGTATATACCACATTTTCTTTTTTTAAAATAAATTTATTTATTTTATTTTTGGCTGCGTTGGATCCTTGTTGCACATGGGCTTTCTTTTAGTTGCGGTGAACAGGGGCTACTCTTTGTTGTGGTGCGTTGGCTTCTCATTGCAGTGGCTTCTCTTGTTGCGAGCATGGGCTCTAGGCACATGGGCCTCAGTAGTTGTGGCACTCGGGGTCATTAGTTGTGGCTTGCAGGTTCTGCAGCTGTGGCACACGGGCTTAGTTGCTCCGTGGCATGTGGGATCTTCCCAGACCAGAGCTCGAACCCGTGTCCCCTGCATTGGTAGGCAGATTCTTAACCACTGCGCCATCAGGGAAGCCCTACCACAGTTTCTTTATCCGTTCATCTACTGACAGACATTTAAGTCGTTTCCACATTTGGGCTATTGAATAATGCTGCAATGAACATAGGAGTGCAGATATCTCTTCAAGATCCTGATTTCAGTTCCTTTGGGTAAATACCCATAAGTGGGGTTACTGGATCATATGGTAGTTATATAAATGATAGGCCCTTTACGCTGTGATCACACTTAAAAACTCCCAAACAGAGCATGTATTACTACTGCATTTCTTTTTAATGCTGAATAATACAGGCATACTTTGTTTTATTGCACTTTGCAGATACTGCATTTTTTACAAATTGAATGTGGCAACCCTGTGCTGTCAGATGATGGTTAGCATTTTTTAGCAATAATATATTTTTAAATTAAGGTATGTACATTTTTTTAGACATAATGCTGTTGCACACTTAATAGACTCAGTATAGTGTAAACATAACTTTTATATGCACTGGGAAACCAAAAAATTTGTGTAACTCACATTATTTTGATACTCGCTCTATTGTGGTGGTCTAGAACCAAATCCACAATGTCTCCGAGCTGTGCCTATATTCCATTGCATGGATATACCACATTTTATTTATGCATTCATCAGTTGATGGACATTTTGCTGCTGTGAATAATACTTCCGTGAACATTTATGACCAGTTTTGTGTGAACATGTTATCATTTCTCTTTGGATATATACTCAGGAGTGGAATTGCTGGTGATTTGTTAACTCAATGTTTAATCTTTTGAGGAACTGCCAAACTGTCTTCCAAGTTGGCTGTACAATTTATATTCCCATCAGCAGTGTTTGAAGGTTCTAGTTTCTCCACATCTTCACCAACACTTGTTACTGTTTGTCTTTCCATTATAGTTACCCTAGTGGGTAGGCAGTGCTATCTCATTATAGTTTTGATTTGCATTTCCCTAATGGCTAATGATGTGCATCTTTCCCTGTGCTTATTGGCCATTTGTGTATCTTCTTTTGAGAAATGTCTATTCAACTCCATTGCTGATGTTTTCAATTTTTTTTTGTCTTTTTATTATTGAGTTCTAAGAGTTCTTTATGTATTCTGGATACAAGTCTTTATCAGATATATGATGTACAAATATTTTCTTCCATTCTGTGGGTTGTGATTTTTTTTTCTAGTTAGCATTGGTTTATAACATATAAGTTTGATATGTACAACATTATACTTTGACTTCTGTATATACTACAGTGTTCTCACCACCAAAAGTTTAGTTTCCATCTGTCACCATATAGCTGACTCCCTTTGCTCATTTTGCCCTCACCTCACCCCTGTGGGTTGTTTTACTTTTTGGGTGATATTTGCAGTTCAAGAGTTTTACATACATGATATAGTTCACTTTACATATTTTTTCTTTTGTCATGCTTGCTTTTGTGGTCTTATCTGAGAAACCATTGCCTAATCCAATAGTTTCTAAGAGTTTTATAGCTCCTACATTTAGGTCTCTGATCCATTTTGAGTTAATTTTTGTATATGGTATGAGATAGGGTTCCAATTTCATTCTTTTGCATGTGGATATCCAGTTATCTTAGCACCATTTGTCCAAAGATGATTTTTTTTTCATTGAATTGTCTTGTCATTCTTGTTGAAACTCAATTGACCATAAATGTAAGGATTTATATCTGGACTCTGAATTCTGTTCCCTTGACCTGTATGTCTATTCTTATGCTCGTACCATGCAGTCTTGGTTACTCTAGCTTTGTGTAGTAAGTTTGGAAGTTCTTGTGCTAATTTTTATATGAAATCAGTTTTCCTGAACCTCAGGACAGGGTTGGTCAGTATACTTTTTCTAGCTTCCTAGTTTTAGAGCTCCTTCTTCTGTTGTTTTCACAAAGTGTTCAAAAATAGGGTTTCATGATTGCTGAGATCCGCTTCTGTTTCTCTCTTCTGCTTTTTTTGGGATTGCCTCTTTCTTTTAGCTCTCATATCCATGTGCTACTCAATTTGAAATCTCTTCCCAGTAGTTTGTAATACAAAGACGTAAAAAGAAGAAAGGTGGTCCCTGGTTCTGCTGTCCACATAACCCCTTTTGACAATTTTTAGAAACAGGTAATGTGTGCACGTATTTAGGATTCTTCAACAGTTCAGTAAAGTGAAAGTCTTTTCCTCCCCCATCCTTTTGTATTAAGAGTTTCAAGAAATTCCTTTCAGGAAGAAAAAGTATACGTTTTACCAAAATACCTGTAATTTTTCTTAAAAACGTATTTAGGCAAATTGTTCTTGAACTTGTTTATTTAATATATCTGAGGGATGTTTTAAAATTGGGAATATGTACAAACAGTAAACGCTGGAGAGGGTGTGGAGAAAAGGGAACCCTCTTGCATCGTTGGTGGGAATGCAAACTGATACAGCCACCGTGGAGAACAGTATGGAGGTTCCTTAAAAAACTACAAATAGAATTACCAGATTTCTAGAATTCTAGAATTACCAGAATTACCAGATGGCCCAGCGATCCCACTACTGGGCATATACCCTGAGAAAACCATAATTCAAAAAGAGTCATGTACCACAGTGTTCATTGCAGCTCTGTTTACAATAGCCTGGAGTTGGAAGCAACCTAAGTGTCTATCGACAGATGAATGGATAAAGAAGATGTGGCACATACACATATGTACAATGGAATATTACTCAGCCATAAAGAGAAACGAAACTAAGTTATCTGTAGTGAGGTGGATGGACCTAGAGTCCGTCATACAGAGTGAAGTGACTCAGAAAGAGAAAAACAAATACCGTATGCTAACACATATATATGGAATCTAAAAAAAAGAAAAATCGTTCTGAAGAACCTAGGGGCAGGACAGGATTAAAGACGCAGACGTAGAGAATGGACTTGAGGACACGGGGAGGGGGAAGGGTGAGCTGGGCCGAAGTGAGAGAGTGGCATGGACATACATACACTACCAAACGTAAAATAGACGGCTGGTGGGAAGCAGCCGCACAGCACAGGGAGATCAGCTCGGTGCTCTGTGACCATCTAGAGGGGTGGGGTAGGGAGGGTGGGAGGGAGACGCAAGAGGGAGGAGATATGGGGATATACGTATATGTGTAGCTGATTCACTTTGTTATACAGCAGAAACTAACGCACCATTGTAAAGCAATTATACTCCAATAAAGGTGTTAAAAATAAATAAACTTGGGAATATCTGTTAGCTGAAGGGTATTATTACCACTTTAAAGGTAATGTTCTTAAGGCTTCTCAGAGTAACTTAGGTAATGGGGCTCTTCTCCTCCTGGGCCCTTTTTCTTGATGGAAAGTCAGGATTCCCATGTGGTCTGGGGAGGGAACCAGGGCCAGCTGTAGGATGTTTTCCCCAGGTCATCTCTCACCTCCCGAAGACCTATGTAATGTTTTTGATAATGCTTCTTGTGTAATTATTAATCCCATATTAATAATGGGAACAAGCATATTCTTGTTTAAATAACCTTTATATAGCGAGGTTATCTTGGCTGTATGGTCCAATCTCCCAGCTGTCTTTAGGTCTGTTGCCTCTGGTTACATTGTTTCAGATTACAGGTTTCTCAGGAACTCTGGTAACTTTGTATGTATCTTCCTGTCCCTTAGACCATAGGGTCCTTGAGGGTAGGAAACAAGTCTTTTTCTATGTGTCAGTGCTCAGGAATTCTTTCCTGACTGATGGACAAAGTGCCTGAGGAGTACTGATGATGCTTTGGGGGGCTTGTGTTCATTCCCTCCAGGGGAGCCAGGAAGTGGGACGGAAAGTGACACTTCTCCAGACTTCCACAATCAGGAGAACGAGCCCAGCCAGGAGGACCCTGAGGATCTGGATGGATCTGTGCAGGGAGTGAAACCTCAGAAGGCTGCTTCCTCTGCTTCCTCAGGGAGTCATCACAGCAGCCATAAAAAACGAAAGAATAAAAACCGGCACAGGTCAGTGGTAGGGACCACCTTTCCCCACCCCCTATGCCCCCACCCTATCCCCACCCACTTAGAGCTCTTCCGTGACCATTGCTGTGAAGGGACTTTAATAGAATAAACATTCTTCAGGATTGGTGTGGTCTTTCTGTTGCTGATGGGAAGAAATTCATTTGGTCCAAGTGAAACAGGCTCATTTTTCTCTAAGGGAGGAATTAGTGGGCATTAGAGTAACTGTGAAGGAAGACATCCTTCTCAGTGTTGCTAGTGTAGGAGAATTTGGTTCCATAAAACTTTTGTTTAATACAGTGAATTTGAAATCCTTTCAGAAGAGAAAAAGGGAAATAGAAATGGAATCTGTGTACTAGTGTTTGGAAAATGCCACTAGCGTGTGTTGGGAAGCTGAAAAGTGGGATATAAGTCTTCTGCTCCTAACCTTGATCGCTGCCTGTTCTTATTCCCTGGAGGATGGACAGAACTGATCTGATAGTGCCTTTATGCTTTTTATTTTTTATTTTTATTTTTATATTTTTATTTTTCGGTACGCGGGCCTCTCACTGCTGCGGCCTCTCCCGCTGCGGAGCACAGGCTCCGGACGTGCAGGCTCAGCGGCCATGGCTCATGGGCCCAGCCGCTCCGCGGCATGTGGGATCTTCCCGGACCGGGGCACGAACCCGTGTCCCCTGCATAGGCAGGCGGACTCCCAACCACTGCGCCACCAGGGAAGCCCCTTTATGCTTTTTAAATACAAGTTTTTTGATTGCTTATGATTTCTCTGTTTTTATTTATCTTTGTAAAATGCTGATTTCAGTATCAGAGGAACAATATAAGGGCTATAAGATATGAGAGCACCTTCCTAGATAATGTTTGTTCACTGTGTTTTTTTTGTAGTGCCTAATGAGATAGGAATCACATCAGTGGACAGAGAGGTCAGGTGCCACCCAGAGAGGGTTTTAGCATTCACTCTCCTTGGGGTTTATATGATGATGCCGGGGCCTGTTAGCTCAGATAATTGGAAATTCTACAGCTCAACTCAGAGAGGGTAATGCAGTAGTTTCTAGAGGAAGGGATGGCCTCAAACCTTCTTCTGGGAGGTTTGAAAACCAGATATCCACCAGGTTGGCTTTTGTCCTGCTCCTCTTAGGAGCCTGCATGCTGAGGAGATGAAAGGGGGCGTGCAAGGAATGGGTGGGCTTCCCTGTGCCAGTCAGTTTGCTTCTGGGCTGGGTTGTCCCACAGAACATTCCCTCAGGCACCCAGGATATTACAGTTGTCACCTTTGCCAGATGTGGCATACAGGGATAATACAGAATTAACTCTAACGGGTTTAAGCCTCCTTGGCATCAACTGATTCTTTAATTCTTCTAAGAGTTTTTCTTGTCAATGCTGGTGATGGTTTTTAGACCCAGAAATAGTATATCCTCCAGATAGTGGCTAAGGACTGCAGGCTAACATTTTTCTGCAAACCAGAAATCACCACGCCAATCTCATACGTGCAGTAAGAGAGAGCAAAAATTGCATCTCTCTCTCTCTTTTCTTTTTTTTTTTCTGGTAAGGCTACAGCTTATTTAATCGCTGTGACAGGACTGACGCTAGTTTATCATAAACAGCAGAGATCCATACTCTTAAAAATATTTTTTTAAATTGTCCAGATAAAAAGGTCATGCTCTGTGTTGCTTTCATTAAGTTTACACCAGTGTCATTTTAAATGGGATAATTATTTTCCTATTTCAGAGTAGAGGAGGGGTAAATTCCTTGAAAGTTTCTGGGACACTTTCTCCATTCCTGGTACACTAGACTCTATTGATAGCTATTGTTTATTTCAGGTAATACCTTATTTTCCTTAATGATACGATCAGCTGATAAAAGGGAATTAGACCTTTACTTAACTTTCTTCTTGCAGATTGCTGGTAGATTTCCATAGTAACAGCATTTCCTACCCTTTCCTCTCCCGGCCCTAGGAGCTAACTCCTTCCAGAAAAATACTAGGATTTAAAAAGATATTTGATGTTAGTTATTGCCTTCACAATGGGGCTTTCTGTTTGGAAAGCAGGATCCTTTTGTGTTCCCCAGGTTCAGTATCCTGCTGGGTTTCTCCGTTGGCCTTAGGGACTCACCTGCCCTGAGGGAGGATAGTGGAGCTGATTTGCCTTCTTTCTGGAGAAAATAGGTTTATTAGCACACCTTCTCAGATTCCTGCCATCTCTAGTCAGGAATTGTGTCTGGCCCAAACCCCTCGCCCCTGACTAATGTCTTAGTGGGTCTGACTGATTGGGGGATGGGGGCGGGGGAGCACTTTGTCTACACATGTTTGTAACTTTGCTCCCAGTACAGTGTCGTTTCTCCTTCAATGTACCACACCCCATATTGTCAGATAAAAGTCAACAGTAAATTATTTCAACAAAAGTCTGAATACCCACCATGGTGTAAGACACTGTTTAGTGATGAGTAAAGCAAAGTGGAAATAAATAAGTACCCTAGCAAAAAGGGAAGAACTTTGAATTTGTCCTCTTTAGGAATATAAAAATCTATCAGATAATTTTTAGCATTCATAAATGATCACAAGATTCTAAAGTCTTATCTTTTACGTGATATCTGAACGATAAGTCCCAGTGTCTTTAAAGAAAAAAGTTGAAATCGGTATAACCTTATAGCTGCTCGTACAGGGTTTTGCTACTGTACCAAGCTCTAGAATTCTAGGTAGTTTGTGACGTTTTCATGAGGTAGGTACAGTCTACTTCTTTAATTTCTGAACAAAGTTAAGTTAGGCTGAAAGTTAAATTCCTGACAGTTCCTGGTTTGTACACTTGCTGTATACTTTTCCCAAATGTCCTAAGTGAAACTGTTGCATAAAGGTTATTGAAGTTAAGCTTTCTTCCAGCTTCACTCTTGCAAACATTGGCTAGGAGGAAACACAGCCGTTTTACATATTGTTTTACCTCCTGTCTACCATCTGAAAGGCTCTGGAGCCAGCTAAGGAGCTGGTGTCGTGCCCCTGGTTAACATTTGCTTTGGAGGTCTGCCCAGCCCATGGTCTGTTAGCAGTGATGGCCCGAAACGGCCTTCTCCTCTAGACTGCTCTCGCGTCTGGACCCTTACGGCTTGGGTGCTTGTGGATGTCAACTTCCCTTTGTTTCAATAGGTGCACTGCAGACTTCGGCGGCGTTCCACAGTTGTAGCCCTGACATAAACCGTTAACTGCCCTCACCAGTTCAGGGGCAGAGTCATATGGCTGTGTGGTTTTTGGAATCAGACTCTGATTCAACCCCTGGCTTGTAGCATGAATGCAGAGAAAAGGAGTACCATGTTTGGACATGCTTAAATATAAAACCCGAGTTAGAAATTGCAAAATGTTTTTTATTTTCAAAACTCTATGATATTTTTATCTTTCATTTTAGTGAAAGTGTATTATGCTGAGCTGTTGGTACGGTCTTCAAAGCACTTTTCATTATGTGACTAAACCCTTTGTTCTCTATTTCTTCTAAATGCCCTGTTTATTTTTCATTATAATTAAATATTTTAAAAGTTCTAACTCTGAATCTGGCAGTTAATAGAAGGCCTGCAGGTGTCTAGTTTTCTAATGAAATAACTTTTCTTTTTATAGTCTGTTCTTCTGATATGAAATCCATTGAGGGAAGGGAATCGCCCAACCACAGAATCTTTGGTGCTTTGATGTTTGAAACTTTGTGGCTTAAGATTCTTAAAAGTGATTTTGTTTCTACAAATCTTGCTAGGGTGGCTAATCAACTAATTTATTCAATTAGGATATTAATTTCTATTGCTTTCTTCCTTTCAAATGCTGCCCCTCAGCCCGTCTGGCATGTTTGATTATGACTTTGAGTAAGTTTGATTTGAATTAGTATTTGTGCTGTGTTGTTTAGTGTGTAGAGACAAATATGCCTTTTTGAGACCTTTCTAACCCATAGTTTATCTGTTTAATTGTAGGTATGTATATTAGGTTAGGCTGGGAAGTTTTTTTTAAAAACAGAAAAACGTGATGGAGGTAACATTTTATTTAATAACTTAAGCAAAATTCAGTAAACTTCACTTTTATGCATTTTAATTTCTTTAAAAATAGATAACCTTTACTTTGATTAATATTTAAATTGATATCCTGGCTTTGCTTCATAAGGAGATTGATAGTTTAAGATCTTGATGTTTTGCTCTGGAAAGATTTAAAAACTGAAATTTGTTGAATTTCTTTTGTGTTTCATGTCCAGGAATACAAACTCCTAGTCTCTTCCCTGTTCTTAATCACTCAGTGTCTCAGTGATTATCAGCAACATAGTTGCAGAGCTAACACATTAACGTAGAGCATGCCCTCTTAACCCAAGCTCTTTAACGTGTAATTTTGGAATAATTTTTTAAAATTGTACGACTTTTTTATAACTGCTATAGTGTATTTCTTTTTGAGTCATCTAAGTTTACCTTGTGGCAAGAGTATCTGCTCATGTTTTTAATAAATACCTGCTTAATGATATCTGGGTAAACAACTAAATATGACATAGTCTAATGAAGAATGTGGATTTTACTTAACCAAATAGCCTTTGTTATAGCTTGTGCCCTATGCAGTAGCTGATTCTTGGACCCGTTTTCTGTAAATTAAAATGCAAATATCTTTTATCTTTCCTATCACAGGATTGATCTGAAGTTAAACAAAAAACCACGAGCTGTAAGTATCAGCCAGACCATTTCAGAGAGGCTGGTGATTTTTGTAGACGGTTAGAAAAACGTATTTGTCTTCAGAGCTTGAGTGTTCCTAATCTGGGGTCACAGTTCTTGTTTTAAAGTCTGGGGTATCCATCTGGATGCACTTTGACTTTTAGGTTTGTGTACTTTCTTTATATTTTGGAGAGAGAAAGGCTCACACATTTTTTCCTGAAGAAAAATTCCCTTTGATTAAATAATGAACTGTTAATACTACCCCTCCTCACCACCCCCATGCCTCTAACTGGTGAGTTCTCAGGTCTAATAAGGCAGAATTGATGTTTCTGTCCCTTTGTGGACTCAGAAGACAAGCCATTTTCGATGTGAAATATTGTCTGTCATATTTGAAATAGAATCTTTGGCTACAGAGCAATAGCCTAGCAGGGTTGTTGGTGAGAATTTATCAATGTTCTGCTGAGAATAAGTTGGGACTTTTGTTTTTCTCTCTTCAGGATTATTAGAAGACTCATTAGTGCAGAAGCGTCCAGGCTATAGAGCCCTGCTTCCCTCCTCCGACCTCACAAAGATAAACACCCCTCACCTGGCTGCGTGGCCATCCATCTCTGCTTTCCCAGACCTGGTGCCTGTGACTCTGAGTAGTTTGTTCTGAAATGTGGTGACAAACAAGTCATTTCTGTAAGACCATATTGGAGCATTTATTTTGTGTCATTTTCAGTAACAATTGCAGGACGACCCAAGACATTGTTTTAATCCCAGCAAGTTGCTAACTGTGCATTTCTCCCTTCTTGGAACCAGTGTCTCCCCCGTCAAACTGGCTGGCACCAGCTTCATCTGTGATGCGCATCGAGAAATGTCCTCTAGGTTTGTTTTATGCTGAACAGTAGAGCAGTCACATTTCAGAGGGAGGCTGTAAATATCTGGCGTTTTCTTATTTTGTTTGTGTTTTATCATTTTTCTATGATTGTTTTTACCATCTCATTTTCTTTTGGGACTTTTTGTAATGCCATTGTACAGCTCATACCTTCCTGCTG